ATTTTATTTTATTTTCAATTCAAGTATTAAAGTTATAAAATTACTTTTAATGAAATTTTATTCCACATTAATTTTTTTAACTATATTTTGGTAATTTTAATACTCAAATTGTATTTGTTTATATAATCCGCACTTAAAGACATTAAACTATTTATTAGTTTTAATTCTATCAAATTTTGTGGAAACATATCCGACCAAGTGAAAAATGTTCATTAAACTGAGAAACTTTATCTATATAATGGCTATTATCATTAGAGTTTGCCCTCCTCTAATTACCAAGAAAAGGATTGCCCCTACATCTAACCTAAAAGATCAATTGATTATAAACTTTTAGACAAAAGGTAATTTTAATTTTAAATGTTAGATTTAAAATTTTCTCTTTTAAATTTATATTTATAAAAAAACCAAAAAAAAAAAAAAAAAAAAAAAAACATCCACACACCTAATAGATCTGACATTTTCCTGTGTTGAATAATGCCAAAGCCCAATTACGTAAAAACAACGCTCCTCTACTCTCATGGCAGCATCTAGGGGAGAAATTAATCCTTGTGGATAATTTGTCATGTATCTCAAGATATGAAAAAATAAAATAAGAATTCCTTGTGAACATTCCCTACCTTAATTTTTTCCAAAAAAAAATAAAAATCCCTTAGACAATTAGGTAGAATGACCAGAACTAGATACTTTGAAATTTTAATCCAAAAATGAACCAAGTCTGTGTTCTCAAGTCAAAATCCATGGATTTTAAATCTTGGTGATGCAATTTTTTCTTCAAGTGATATGATTAACAAGAGAAATATATTTTTTAATCAAGTTCAAAAACCATCCACGGAATATTCTCTGGTTGTAACCATTCCCATTTCCATTCACATCATCGACCGGTATTCCATCTTTCCCTAATTAATGTGTATATAGACTCTTTATTTTTTGTGAATAGAATTGTATTTAAAATGATAATTCAGGTACATGTTTGCAATAATTTTAAGAATGTGGGTAGTCGAATGATTTCAACATATGAATTAGTTTTAATCTATTCATTTGATACTATTGCATCACATTATACTACTAAAGACGCAAATTATAAATATAATATTTTTTATTTGAGAATTACGTATAATGGTTTTTTAAATATAATACAATACGTTGTATAATATATCATAGTATTTTATAATTAATCTTTTTATTTGAAGTTTTGGTAAAAATCACATATAAATACTTATTTAATATCATGTCATATTATAAAATTTATTGTATTTAAAAATAATGTATGTATGAGACTATCAAACAAAATATTATACTTCATCTATTTCAAAATAATTACTTTTATTTTTATTTTTACAAATTAAGAATTGTAAAATAATTTATATATTTATTTGTATTATCCCTAAAAATAAATAAAAAATTTAATAATAACGTGAATAGTTAAAGTTAAGAGATAGTAATTAAAAATATTTATCTCCTTAAAAAATGATAATATTTAAAATAAATTTAAAATAAAAAATAATTATTTTAAAACAAATAGAATAAACAAACATTTTAATTGAATCATAAAAAAGAGGATATAAATTGTACATCTATTTTTAGTAAATCATTTAATATTTAAAAATTACATTAAAACTCAATTAATTTAAAATCAAATTAAATTAAATCCATAAAAAAATCTTTCAATATTTTTTTTTATTTACAAATTTTCAACCTAAAAATTTTATTTAAAATTTTTTTCATTTAAACTAATAAATTATTAGTATCTTACATATCTTATTACCATAAATAAGAGACTTCTAATACTGAGACAACCCTTTTTATCGATTATTATAAAATATGTTACCCATAATGTACTTTTTTTTTAACCGATTTAAATGTCATTGAATTATTACCGATTTACTTATTTATTTTTCTGAGCAGGCAGATTTGGAACCTTTTTTCCTGACGAAATCAATTAAGGAGAAGTGACCAGAACGGAATTGGTGGGAATGGACTAGTTGACTTTGTCTGTTTGTCAATTAGAAATGACAACTTAGAATTTTCAGTCAACAAAAATCTCATTTAATGACATAATTTTTTACGCAACTTTCAATGTTTATTAACTTATTTTATTTTAAGATTTATCTAATTTAGTAATTTAAATATTTAAAAATGTATTAATCATATTTTTTATATTAATTTTTTATAAAAATTTATAAAAATTGATTTTATTTTTATTATTAATATTATAAATATATTTTCAATTAAATAATTAATAAAATTAAAAATATATATAAGAAAAATAACTTTTTTATTTTTAATGTATTTTATCTATATATATTATATAATTTAAATTTAAAATTTTTTTATTTTTATTAAAAAATAATCTTTAAATTACTTATATTATTAAATTTTTTATTTTATCAATATTTATAATATTATATATATATCTATTCATAATATAATAATAAATTTAAATTATTAAAAAAAATTGTACTATTGGGTTAGGCGGATATCAATTACCCCTTTCATTGGCAATCAAATCAACCTTTTCCCTCAGTGCGTGTTAGTACACAGATAGCAGCCATGTCCTTGTCTAATTTCATTTTGTGTGGACTTTTCGGATAAAATGGTCCCAGAATCTAGTTTTAGACATTAGCTCTAGAATCACAGACAAGTGAACTGTAAGCAGCTTGCCCTTGCCCTTGCCCTTGCCCTTGCCCTCCTTGTGCCACCTTTGTGAATAGCGAAGTGAACCAATAAAGATCTCAAGTGGTTTTTGCCATTGCAGATATTAAAGGTTGGGGCCCTTAAGCAGTCACGTAAGATGGGATCCACCTTTTATGAAAGTGTAAATTGGAGAAAAGAAGAGAAGTTGCCTTGATTTGCGTTATAAACTTATAATTTGGTTATCGATATATCTTTAAATGTATAAATAAGGTGACAAAATGAAAACGTGGGTGTTCAGACTTCAAAGCAACTGCAGCTTTTAGGCACCCGCTGCTGACACCTTCTTTCT